TTAACAAAATATCCAATTAATACCTAATTTTTGATTAAATAAACTTCATACCTGAATTTTGAATTTGAAAGTTTAAATACCTGGTTTTATGTAATTTCCTCCTAAATCTATGCTTAACAAGACCCGACCCGACCCACCAATCCTATTCTAGTTCAAATTCACATGAAAAGCGTGCATTCAATCACATGATTATCACACACTATTTCAAACACCATAAACATTATTCCTAATATCTATTGTCCGTGTGTTAAATACATATTGTTTTACTTATTGCGAGTCTTCCAACATTACAAATATGCAACTAGTTGTCTAAATGATGGCCAAACATTCAAAAAACACATAATTAATGCATACTCAATGACAATCACATGAATTAACTAAAGAAATGATAAGTCTTGAATTAAAAGCTATAAATCAACATGTTTCATCATTCATCCAATATATAAAATTATTTAGCCTACCATTGTCATATGAAAATTACACAAAATAAATAGAAACAACATCACCCAAGGCAAAGAATATGTGGATTATTTCGGTTTATACATTAGCGGGGGACTTGGCTCTTGTGCCCTTATTTGATATTTCTTTGAATCTCGCTCCTCTATCACCACTTGTTTCAGTTATATGGCGTGCCCCATCAGTGGGCTTTCACACAACATCAACACTGATGGTTGCGTCAATGATTACTAGTGGTGGGGGCATCATTCGAGACCAGATGGACGCTACATCAGGGCATTCTTTGCATCTTATGGTCCCTGTAGAATTTTGGAGGCTGAGCTCTGAGCTATACTGGATGAAGTTTTTCTTGACCGAGGGCTTGGTATCACAGACATTGGATTATACTTGACTACGGCCATTCACTATATCAACAGGAATGAAGGACCATGGACGATTCAAGGCATCATCAGACAAATCAAACACCTCATATCCTCTGAGTGGGACATTATTTCCTACATATATCGTGAGGAAGACCTGGTTGTAGACTCTTTAGGTTCAGAGGGCTGGGAACAGTGCCGCTATCAAGAGTATTGACCGCTTGACCTTTTACGTCAGATTCAGGTACTTGTGGAGATTGACATATATAGACTGCCTAACTTCAGAAGTTTATAGTCAAGATTGACAAATATGGATTGCCTAACTTCAGAAGTTTATAGTTAAGATTTCATTTGTTTTCACTTTCTTTGTATGCGAAGTTATACTTTCTTATTTATTGCTACCCTGTTGTTTTCAGATATTTTTGCTTTGTTGTTTTCATGAGATTATGTTCATTCCCTCATCTTTCCCTGTATTTTGGTCTTTTTTTTATGATATATACATGGTTGGAGAATCTAACCCCCCCCCCCCTCCCCTCAACCTTCCTTAGTAGAGCCTAAAAACTCACTATGGATGTGTGAATGTCTTTGATAAAAAAAGGTCCTAGTAGCCCTATGATTAAGTTTCATTATTTGAAAAAAATATTCATTCACCAGTGATTTATTATGCATGTCTTTTTTCACAAATTTCAGAATCCGAGACTTTCTCATAGGATATTAGTGGCACTTTACACACGTAGGTTGTTTATACAGTTTAATCCATATGAGTTTTGAATGAGTTTTATGGGAAGAATTTATCGTTCATGAATTATACTTGTATAAGTAATCAAATAACTATTGTTGCTTGTTTCCCTTTGTTATTCATGACAAAAAGGGGAGTGATAGTATTTACTTCTTTAAAGATGTTAGTAGTGTTGAGTTATGGGGAGTAGTATTTGGCTAGCAAACATTTGAAATTTGAAATATTGATATTGTGTTTGGCATTTTATATAGTATCGATATCATATTTTGAGTTGCTAGTTCGACTATTGATGTTTGGATGCAAAGTTATTGATGCATGTGGTGTTATATGTTTTGATCTTCATATTTTCACTTGAGTCGTATATATGTGACTTAGTTATGTGCTTTGTTATCTGACCCTTTGAAATCTAGCAAGTGCATAGTATTGTAATCAAATAATAAAATGATGAATAGAGTGCCGAATCCATGAGAACTAAGTGTTTGATCGAGTTAAATTAATTATATCCTTAATCGAATATCAAAAGTGATTTGAGTTTATCTATGCTAATTTCTAAGTTATTAACTAAGTGAAAGCAAGAAAAACTAGTTTTCAAATACGTGAGAAGTATTGCTAATATGTCGAATCCCCCTTATTAATTTATTTATAGTTCAATAATTTACAATGACAATTTGAAATCATCATTGTTGGTCAATGTTCTTATTTTAATTAAACGACTCTCTCGATAATGATTAAATATATTCCTACATGTGACCTTCCTATATCTTTATGAGAGATGCGACTATGCTTAAAAGCAATATACATGCTAGATCACCTATAGAAACCATATAAAGTATAACGGTATATGTCAATCCTTATTGGATTTTACAATATTTATTATTTTGTGCTAATGACCCTATTGTCTCTCTCGATAACAAAATCCACAAACAATTTAATTAGTGCCCAGTTATTGAAAAGTATGAAAAACGATAATAAACATTCAAGCATTTAAAATTAAATTAAATTCAAACTAATTTATTAAAATAAAAATATATCATAGCAAGGGTTCATCTCATTTTGGCAATTAAATAACTAGCCTAACATATCGAAATTATAAGAAAACATCATAATTTTGTATAAAATCACCCGAAATTGTGAATCAATGAATGAAGGAAAATGAATCTTGACGTTCTTGAATTTTTTTAGAAACATTTTTGATAAATTTTCAATAATCTTTTATTTTCTTTCCCACAAATCCCAAGTTTAGTCTCCAATTGATAAGTTTTTTGAAATCTTCTCACACAGTAAATGATTTTAGCCCTTTTTTTATGATGACATATGGATAAATTTTTGATGTATAATGGTGTATGAATAGTGTACAAGAGGAGAGAGTTAATGTAGGAGACGTCCGAGTATTTAGGTTAAAAATCTCGTAAAAATCCTTGTCAAGTTGAGTTTGAATTGAAAAAAGGAAACTGCTAATTTGTCTGTGGAAAAAGCCTACACGAGCACAACCTTCATCCCCCTGCACGTATAGGTAAGATGAATTGCTCTCAGGTTGGTGAAAATAGGGTCTTGCATGCGCGCCGGTTTACGTCTGTTAGTCCCTAAGCAGTTTTCGGTATTTTGGTCATAACTTTGTCTCTCGATATCCGATTGAGGTGATTTAAAATGCGTTCGAAAGGTAACTCAAAGGGCTATGATTATTTTAAATATAATTTTTCCAATTTCAACGTTTGCTGCCTGAAAAATGGGTCTCAAGTTGATGCAAAAAATTGGGAGCATAACTTTTTCGGCTAGAAGTTGATTTGTGAGAATCACTCATTTGACTTTCAATTGCATCCAATTGAACCTTTTGCATATCTGATCTTCATTTTGTGGTTCGAGTCAACTATCAGATTGTTGCAAGTTGGTCTCCATACTTTTGATCTGACACTTCTTGATTTTTCCTTTGTTTTTTCAAATTCCTTGTTCAACCATTGTGTTTTATCTATACAACATAAAATACAGCAATTTAAGATATATTTTGTCAAAAACACTAGTAAATATCGATATTTTAGACTCGAATAAGTGTATAAAATACACTTATGATTTAAATCACAGTTTTAAATCTACAAACTGCTTCAAAGTCACAATATTAACCAACATTCACACTTTTAATGCAAAATCGACGTGTGTGTGTGTGTGTGTGTGTGAAGAACTAAGTAAACAACCATAAATTTACAAATTGCTTCAATTCTAGACACTCTGTGGTCAAATATATCATTTCACCTCTTGTTTGATTTACACACCATGAAATTTATTCTTTTTACTGTTTCCCTATGTCCAATTTAAGGTTGAATTTTTTTATTATTATCTTCACCCTCTCTAGTTCAGGTGGACTCTACTAATTGCAAGTCAACACATCAATAAACAAAGATTATCCAATTCTTTGATTGCTGCGACATCCAAGACTCAATTAGGCTAATTATACTTAATCTAAAGTCAANACACATCAATAAACAAGGATTTTCCATTTCTTTGATTGCTTCGATATCTAGGACTAGACTAGGCTAATAAACCCTCATTAAAAATCAAGTATTCTCAAATAAGTGTTTGAGACTTTACCATGATGCGTCTTCTGTTTTATGCAACTCATCTTTTAGATATTCTATTCTATTCTATTTATTTTTGCACTCTATCCTTTAAGTTTTTTGTATGACCCATTTAACGAGCTTTTATCCGATTACTCCCAAATTAGATTACTATAGGGCATCAAGTTGTAAATACCATAGCAGACTTAATAACTCGAGTCGTAAATGTTACAAAGAATTGAACAACAGTACTTTCTGACCTGAAGTGAACTCATGCTTCTAGATATATTTATCATGTAGTAGTCTCTTTGTCCCCTCATTATAGAACTTTGCATTCTCAAAGGCATCCATCCGGAATTCGTCTAATTCACTCAGCTG